GTTTATTTTCTTTTGCGTGGACCAGACACAACATATTTTTTCACTCAACCCTTGATTTCATGAAAACAACTTATTTTTATATCGCTTGCAAATGGTGTCATTCTCATTAACTTATACACGAGCTCTCACACCTTTCATAGAGGCATCAAGAAGTTACTAGTACCTAAATGAGTTTGAATGCAAAAGACTGTTAACATACTCGAGGTGTGAGAGAACCTTTCAGCAAGAGAACTACGAGGTCTGTTTAAAACTAGGGTGAATTTTCATTTTTCTCAAGAAACATTTATTTATTCATCAATTTCTATTTTGTCCCATTAAAAGTAGTCTCCCTCACATATAATACACTTGTGCTAGAATTTTTTCGAATTCTCGAAGCAGTTTTGATATGCACTTTTTAATATCTCTCTCTCTCTCTCTCTCTCTCTCTCTCTGGGCGGTTCGATTTTTATCTCCTCAATCATCACAAAAAGCCGTTCTTTCATGGGTCTCTTCAATCTTCGGAGAAGGAAAAAGTCGCAGGGGGGCAAATCTGGTGAATACAGTGGCTGATGCATGATTACGGTTTGGCCGAAAACTGCAAGCAGTGCATAATTTCAATATAACACTCCTTATTGACCGTACGATTATATTGTAATAACTCCTGATTTACTTTGCCACGGTAATCGAAAAAAACAGTGTGCGAAACTTTGACATTTGATCGAACTTGGCATGTTCTTTTGGCCTTGGCTCTCCTGTGATTTTCCATTGGTATGATTGCACTTTGGTTTCGAAGTCATAACCATATACCCATGATTCAACACCAGTTATGACCCTTTCAAGCAAATCTGGATCGCCGTTGACGTCACTCAACAATTCCTGAGTGATGTTCATGAGATGGGTTTTTTTGGTCAAAATTCATCAACTTTGGAATGAACTTCGCTGCCACACGCTTCATTTCCAAAATTACCAAAAAACTTTCATGGAATGAGCCAATCGATATGCCGATATCCTCAGCAAATTCCCTAATTGTGACTCGACGATTCTCCATAACAATTTTTTTCACTTTCCCAACATTTTCATCGGTTGTTGATGTGCTGTCATTGACCTTCTGTGAAAAGCTTGTACCACTTGTAAACATTTTTTGACCAGAGCACAATCACCGTATGCCACTGGCAACATTTCAAACATTTTTTGAGCACTTGATTCCATTTTACACACAAAATTAGATGCAAATTCTTTGATCCATTTTTTTGATAGCAGAAAGTCGCCGATCACGTAAAAAATACTTGCCAACTTTTATGCCTCTAACCAACTAAACATGTTGCACAGCTGGAAATGTAAGCATATGACCGAGACAAGTGTACCAATATATTTTTTTAGTTTGAACATTCACCTTATTTTTTTAATAGACCTCGTAAGCGAAAATGAGTACTTGTTATACAACCGTAAAATTCAGTTTCTAACATTCTTCTTGTATAGCAACCGATCCCTTTGGAAAGTAACTATATATGACGCGAATTCAAGTCATTTTCTTTTTTCCCACATTAATTTATCTGTTTCTAATTAGTCGCTTTATTTGACTTGTAGTTTTCACACGCCTTTTTTCCAATAAATAATAAAGCACACACAGACACACCTTTCTTGTTGACATTTCACCAGCGAAGAGTGTTTTGAAATGAGCGAATTGAGTAAGTATGAATTGTGACTAATGGGCAGCTTATTTGACACCATTTTTGTCAATGGATATCATATATAGATTGCGTCTGGAGACATTTTTAAATTTGGTGATATTTCCTATAGAAAGGTGTGAAATTATTGGGTAATTGTATGAGGAACTCCAACAATGGAATGCAGTTTGAGGTGTGTGAAGTAGTAAAAAATCAGAAAATAAAAATATCTCGGAAAAGAATGCATATACAGGGCATTCCAGTTAAAGCTAGCTACCTTGAATAAATCAGTTGATATTGAGATTATACACAAATCGTGAAACACAACTTTGGTTTTCAGGGGACACATTTCTACGTAAAAATCAAACCCTGCGTTATATACCATCCATAGCAACCTCGATGTCGAAAATTTTAAATGGAAATAATCGAATGACAACTTATCAGAAAAGTCATTCAATTCTGTAGGCATAAAACCTTAAAACATTTTTGATATTACAGCGATAAGCAAAATAAAACAAAACAATCTTTTCAGTTCAGCTCAACCTGAACACACAATTTCTATTTGAAACGTTCGGTAGCCAGGCGGTTCGACGTGGGTGCTTTGTTCACTCACTCGAATTGGCTGTAGTGTTGGTCGGTGGTTCAAGCCTTAGTCTGAACGATCGATTTTCACTTGCTATCGTCCAACCCGTGTAAAGAATCACACGTCAAAAGATAAGACCTCAGCTCGTACAAGTTTCGACTTCTGAGGGTTGTCGTTCGTAGAGGGTGACAGCTGGTTAACGGAAAAACAGATTTTGAACAGATATCATAAATGAAAATTTACGGTGGAAAATTTCATGTTTGAGTACAATATTCCTAAATCTCACCACCTATTTACCTACTGCAGAAGATGTTTATGACAAATTATTAGAGTATTTTATTTGTGTCCTGTTTGATCTCGAGGTAAATATACCTATCATTTCGTTTATTATTTATATTTTGTTCTATACTACGAACATGGAAAAATCTGCAAAGCCGTGTTTTCGAATAGGATTATTAGTTTATAGTCAGTAACGAAGGCATGGATTTTGCAGATGGTTTCAGAATTTTTCATCGAAACAAATTCCAACCTTACAGAATGAATTGAACGTATTAAATAGAGAGTTCATTTTGTGCGATCCTCTCGAAATTCATCATCAACAGTAATCCAGCTTTGTTCTACACCACATGTGTCGCGGATGAAAGTAAGTACCTTTTATCTGAATGGTATAATGAATCATCAACATTTCCGATACTGTTGTGATTCGAATCCCAATATTAGAAACCATATTCTATTCTAATGATGTACGGTATTCTATTGCGAAATGGGGTAGTTTTTCAGACGAAATGGCTTTTCTCCAGAGCGAAGTACCACTGCATCCACTGCCAGGTCAATGGATTGGAAGCAGATGTTCTACAGAATGGCCCCTCAGATTTCCCGATTTGACTTCTTCTGTAAAGATGGTTGTAATCAAAAGTATACGAGACGCAGCCTACTACTGTAACCACTGTCGGATCACTGGATTGGAAGCAGATGTTCTACAGAATGGCTCTTCAGATTCCCCAATTTGACTCCACTAGACATTTTTCTATGAAGATCGTTGCAATCAGAAATATACGAAACGCAGCCTACTACTCTAACCACTGTGACCACTGCCGGGTCAATGGAATGGAAGCAGATGTTCTACAGAATAGCCCCCTCAGATTTCCCGATTTGACTCCACTGGAAGTTTTTCTATGAAGATGGTTGCAATCAAAAGTATACGAGACGCAGCCTACTACTCTAACCACTGCGACCACTGCCGGGCCAATGGATTGGAAGCAGATGTTCTACAGAATGGCCTGTCAGATTTCCCGATTTGACTCCACTGGACATTTTTCCATAAAGATGGTTGCAATCAAAAGTATACGAGACGCAGCCTACTACTGTAGATATTTTGCAGTAAGAAATTACCAGGTACTAAAGCCTTTCAAATAAGGTGTCATTCGACTCTTATTCCCATTTGAAATTTTTGAAATGTGAATTGTTATGGAAAGGAGGACGCTGATAAGCGGTTGATTTTTACGAACTACAGTTGACATGTTCAATGATTATTTGTTAATCTCAATATCTAATGATTCATTGAAGGTGGCTTGCACTCTGATTGACTCATTTATTTTTAAATGAGACACCAAACATTTGAAAAATTTGATTCTTCGACATCGTACTTTTTTTATTTGGACTGAATGTCCACACCTCTAAATTCGATCAAACGTTCTTCCAAATAAGTCATGAATTATAAGTCATCTGGAATTGGAATAAATAAATTCGTATATAAATCTCCATCATACTTTGCTTTGCCAGAGCAGACAGGTAGGTGCATGATATTCATCTGCATTTTTGAAAAAGAAATAAAAATTCAAGAGCGAATCACTGTACGAATTTCAATTGGTTTAAATCTGTCAGGACAATAGGCCATTTACATAATCCACTAGCAGATGTCTAATACTGACTTCATTTGGGTATTTCGTTCAGTATCAAAGAAGCAAAGAAGACTTCATTTCGATATAACCTAAGATAATAACCAACAGAACGTTTATGAATAAAAATCAGGTAGGTACTTTATAGAAGGAAAATATTTTTTACCAGAGATGGTGATTTATATGGGATGAACCAGTACGGTGAAGCAGTTAGTTTTTCTACAAAATCTTGCTCCCTGTACCTAATGCCCTCAATCAGATCATAGAGCATGTCGAGAAGAACATTTAATTAGGGCAGTTATGATTTTGTTGTAGGTACCTACCTATAGAGTACCTATATAATAAAACAAAAATCAATGCAATTGGACTTCAACGTTCGAAGTTTCATAAAGTAACAAAATGTTGGTTTCACCTGTTTTTTGACGCTCCGCGTATAAAATATCCTGCACTGTCATACTTAGGGAATTTGACAATTCATTGATTTAAGGAACAATGCAATTGGAATCCAACGTTAGAAGTTTCAAAAAAGTAACAAAATGTTGGTTTCACCAGTTTTTTGACGCTCCGCGTATAAAATATCCTGCACTGTCATACTTAGGGAATTTGACGATTCATTGATTTAAGGAACTTGTACTCCACGATCTTTATTGATTAGGTGGGTATGTACCTACCACCTATCCTCTTGTTGATATGATTTGCAAAATTTAGTGAAAGGTAGGTAAATAAATACCTTCTATATGCGAATAGCTTGACTGACAGCAATTCGAATAATGTGAATTTTCGAAAGCCAATTCAAATATTTGATGGAAATCGAGTGAGTTACTTTTCAAATTACACAAAACCCAATAAATATAAACAAATATCATGACTCACCCATTTTGTCAGGAATACAAAGCTTCTGGATCACACCAACAAAAAACTATCACAGTACACGAACTGAACGCAAATATACAGTCATCAACATGTATAACAAACTAACAACCAAACTCACTAAAGGGAGAGACGACAACTGAGAGAATTTCGTTGATATCCTAGTGTGTCGATCGCAGAACATGCGCTCAACCCCCACCGCGATTATAATTCGTTCGCCCTGGTTAATTTACAAGTAGCGGCACAGTTTCTGTTCAAAAATTGCATCATCTCTAAACCTCACGAGGACGCATGATGCCGCTAGTTTGAAATGGAGTAGACAGAAGGCAACCAATCACTAATGGTATGAGGCCCCTTAGGAGGGGAATGGAGGCGGAGCAAAGATTTTGATTTGTTCCTGTCCGTGCAGAAAGCAGAATGCAATTCCCAATTTCACTTATTGAGAGTAATGAATAATCCACAAATTTTTGATGTGCTTTATTGCTGTGATTTATTACAATATTACTGTTGGTTGTTTTAGTAAATAATAGTCGCAAATTTCCTTTCGCTTCTGTCTTATGAAGTTTAAAATATCTCCAAGCAAGATAACAGAAAGTTGAAGGAAAATAAAATAGTAATCAACCTATCTATCACCTTCTATGTAGAATTCAATTTTTTAGACTCGTGGTAGTTTTTGATGAATTTTGAGTCGTGAATTTATGCTCGGTGATCAATAATCTGAAGTCAAAACTTGGGGTACCTACCTACTGTCTACTTTCGGTGATACGGTCAGTCAAAAACTTTTTTAATATAAACATAATTGTTTATAAAAGTTATGACACTTCTACAAGGAACTTTTCGGCTAGTTCCCAAAATCAAACTATAAATGAATGCAATATTATCGAATTTACCTATATCCCTATTTCAAAACCATATAGGTATGGTGAAAAAAAAACCGTTTTATGAATAGAAATGTTCATTTAAGAAAATAATTGCAATAATGGAATTGTGTGACGAATTTGCAAATATTTACTAGTTCTCTTCACTACTTCTCTTCTACAATTAAAAATTGGAACAATATTCTCAATGAATCGTGGGTTCTGTGCTGACATTAGATGTTTCGTTTTAAGTCATCTACTTTGACAAATCAGTATCTAGGTATGAGTGCTTCATGAATATGATTATGACTATAACATAGTTCAAAACTCAGAAGTGTCGGATGATACCTATGCGTGCCATGCTTTGGTGGTTTGACGTTTCAGTATAGTTAGCTATCACAAGATACCTACAGCAAGCGCCAAACGTGATGGCCAGCCCGCCCCCATGCGCACGAACTCATTTTCAAAGCAACCCCCACTACAGCTCTTGCAAGACATACAAATGCTTTGTACAGAGGCATATATCATTAGGTACTTGTCCTCCAATGCCCTTGGCGTTTGGCATTGTCTGAATAATTTGTGTTGTTTCTGAAAAAATGTCATCGCCTAACAGAATTTTATTTTTGGATAAGTGTATCATTATATACTCAACATTTAAATGAACTGTAGTACTACCTATTGGTAATATTGAATAAAATATGACAAGAAATTAAATACAAAAAAGTCATGTTCCATTTGCTACCCTAATTAAATCTAATTATAGGTACGACACTGGCCGGCAAGGGGCTTATCGTAATCCAATAGTAATTTGGTTGGCAGAGTCTATACCTGCGCAATCTCTCGCCATCGCGTTTGGCGCTTGCTGTTTATATTCATTTTTTAAAGAAAATAGCTCCTAGGAGCAAAACGTGAAAAAGTACAAAACAATTTTTGCTTGAAACTTGCTCATGCTACATGATTCCGCGATTTTTCCTTAAATCTTCAGATTTGGAAATATTCGAAGTGGAAAGCGTTTGAACGAAGTACCTACCTGATTAATGTTTCCATTAGTTTGAAGAATACTGGTTGATTGTTTGCTTGTTTTTTTGGTGTCATCGGCATCGACTATACATTGGTCTTTAGCCTCGTGTCCTGGGTAGGCAATGATGATAAATCCCCGAGCCACCTAGGGAGCATCATGAGTATTCGCAGTTCGTCAGCCATGTAACGTTGCAGAATCATACCAAAGAGGACGTATGCTTCTCCACTCACAAGCGACTTTGGTGAAATTGGTGGCACGTGTGAATCGTTGTATTTGTGCCACGCGCTAGTATACGGGTGTCTGCAGTATGCTGTATAATGTCCTCTCTTAGTAGTCCCACTGTGATTTAAAAGTGCATATAGATTATAACAAGTAGCCATGATTTCATTGTCTGTTCAATTTCATCTAGCTGCGTATTTCTGTACAAATTAAAATAAATGTTTCAAATTACCAAAAAATATGTTACTTTGACCATAACTCGACTAACATGATGATAATGAAATCAATCAGTGATAAAAAGAATCATTCCAGTAAGTGTTTGAACTGCCTCCCTTCACGTAGAATACACATATTGCATCTTTTCAGTAATTCCGATTCGTGACAGCTAAAAGCGTCTCTCGCGTTATGGAAGCACAAACATTTGTGATACTATTTTTCAAATCCTCTACATTCTGTGGACGTCGCACATAAACTAAGTCTTTGATATATTCCCACGAAAAGAAATCTAGTGGAGTAATATCTGGACTTCGAGCTGGCCATGATATCGGACCCTTATTTCCAATCCATTTCTCATTAAAAGTATCATCCAAATATTCGGTAACTATTCTATTATTATGTGGAGGTGCCCCATCTTGTTGAAACCACATATTCAGTCGAGTTTGTATTGGTAAACGGCAACACTTGTTGTAGAAAAACCAAGTACCTCTCCCCATTGACAATTTCTTCGAAAAAATTAGGTCCTATCAAATAACCATCTATGATTCCGCAGCAATCATTAACCCCGCACACAGACTGAGATCTCGTTTCTTGCACCCAATGAGGGTTCACGTCAAACCACTAGTGACAGTCATATTTGTTTATTATACCGTTATTATGTAAACGGCTTTCATCACTCCATAATATTTTTATCAGAAACTGATCATCATTATGAATACGGTCGAACAATCATGCAATGAAGTTCAATCTTCTATCAGCATCTTCTGAACATGGGAATATATTTTAGTTATTGAAAATGAAATATGAAGATTGTTACCTGAATGTAGCTCTTGAACCAAATGTATTTTGTATGGATGGAATTTGTTTTTTGACAAAATACGTTGTATTGACGATTTCAAAATGTTACAATGCATTGCTACTTTTCTGGTAGAACTAACTATATGGTTCCAACACCATTTGACCTAGCACTGCAACACTGTGATTCTCATCAGTAGCCGTTTTTGTTTTTTTTCGCTTCCATTCATTAAAAAATCCATTTCGTGCCAAAGATTTGGCTAAGCCAGCGAATGTTTTGTCTGACGGTAATTTTTTGTCGCAGGATACGGATTAGCGTATATCCTCACTGCTTCTTTTGAATTATTTCTTGCTTCGCCATAAATACATATCATATCCAACTTCTCTGCATTTGAAAATTGAAAATTCAATTATACGAAAAACCAACACAAAACTGAATACACTTTCGTCAAATCTGACAGGTCTTCTGACAGATTGATAAATACATTATTGCATTTATTTTAACTTATTCATGGCCCTCTTTATAACACGCAATAAAATTGCATTTTTTCATCAGTATTCAAGGAAAACTACAAATGTGCTATATGACTGAATTCAGAATTTAATGCAGAATTCAAAAACCAATTAAAAATACTGGGTTACCATTTAAAAAAAATTGCGTCGGTGTCGCGACGCCCTAACATATGAAGCCTAGTACTGGTTCTCTACGTAAATAAAAGGACCCTTTGACACAAAATATGGATATTCTTTTTCATTCTTTAGATATTTGCCCGCGGAGTTTTATATGGGACACCTTGTATACTTAAAGGAACCCTTTGACACCAAATATGGATATTCTTTTTCATTCTTCAGATATTTGCCCGCGGAGTTTTATATGGGACACCTTGTATACTTAAAGGACCCCGCACTAATCTTATGGAAAACCGGCTTCGGTGAAAATAGCTGAAATTTCAATATGACGCATAGCCCATGCCATCCTTAACAAAAGTTACTAACTCTCTGAATGCCGGCGTTTGTATTCTACAGGGGTCAAAGTTTGATATTTTGACGATTTTTCAAAAAATCCGGAATTTCATTTTCACCGTATCGATCTGAATTTTTATAATGAAATGGTCCACACGTCCACAATATGTGCATCAAAAAGTTCAAATGACAAAAGTTTCTAGAATCAAAACTAGCGAGTATACAGAGGATTAAACTTTGTGTTTAGTAAATTTTATCGAACTTTTTTCGAGAAAATATGTTACTTACATGAGAAAGCGATCATATTTTGCATTTGAATCAACCATCCAACTATACATATTTGGAATATACAAGGCGATCAAAAATATATTTTCAATTTCGAAAAAATATATCCCTTTGTATAGCCAGCTTCCCCCAATATATTTAGCTGATTTTTTGAAACTATGTAGCCATTATACCAAATATTTCGTCTACTACTGCAGTATACATCATAAGTGGTATTTTAATGTTCCTAATTTCACTCGTCTTGATTTTTTTGATCATGTCACAGGTTATAAAACCTTCAGTTATTACAAATAACGGAATTTGACGGAAAGCTGCTCAACGTTTGTAAACGAATCATTGCCCCAATTAAAAGATGAAGATTTGTATTATCCTTCATTGGTCATCAGCTTGAATGCGAAGAAATATGTATAAATCATTTAAATTTTCTCTCTGTCAAAATGAACATTACTCACAATTTCAGAAAAGCAAATTTCAATCATAGTATCTCATTATTGAGGCACTGTCAGAGATTCAGATAGTGGACACTCTAATACAGCTTTAGTTCTTCTCGACTTCAGCAGGGCCTTTGACACTATTGAAAACGATTTATTGATATAACTTCACATAACTTCAGCTATTACCTTACTTGACAACTATCTCAGGGGAGGAAATCAAAGAGTTACGTTTGATGGAACTGTTTCATCTCTTATTTCCGTTCAGCGAGGAGTACCACAGGGCTTTATAATTTGACCCTTCCTGTTTGCTCTCTATTCCTCAAATCTCATCAATAACTCCAATCATTACAAGGTGCAC